TTGAATTGCTTTATCGACGTACGCTGCATAAGCGGTTTGAAATAAAGCAATAAAATGCATGACAAAAAGACACCTAGGGACGCACAGGAAACGTTATTACCGTATTCAATAGGAAGTGCCGCCTTACTTCATATTGATCATGTTATAGCACTTATTTAAAATGGAGAACTTAGTTGTCCTTTTTTTTGCTAAGAACACATAGACCCTCCCGCATTCATGTATGATATAAAACCGTGGAGAATAAGAAAATAAAATTCGTTGTACTTGTCCTTTCGACGAAAAACGTTGTTTTATTACAACCCACGTCCCGATAACTTAACTCGTGCATTAGTAATATTTAAGCAGCATGGTAAATTCGTTTCCATAATAACAGTTATAGAATACATCAAATCCTCTCCATTGTATCTGTAGAGATTATTTATACGCTCGATTAATGCCTCAATGGAATTAGAACATTGCCGTTTAATCTATGGTGCTATAGTCTAAGCCGATTAATCAATTGGTATACAGAGTAGGATCGGCAATTGTGGTGTACTGTACCGTAATATGACTGACTGTCACTGAGCACTGCACGTTGTTGACTCGAAGGATTTTTTGTTTAAACGAAGTTAACAAAAGTTTAGAAAAATGTGTTTTCTGCAGTATCAAAGAGTATAAGCAAGGAAAGGATTTATTTATACAGTGATGTACCTAACACGAAACACGAAGATACGAGGTTTGTGTTATGGATAGTTGATATATAACTTTTAAATACATACATATTATAAATATAAGCACCCATGAATGGAGTACAAACATTCGTGTTCATCACACAAATGAATGCCCCCAGCGGGACTCGAACGTTCATGTACAAACCAAAGCACTAAATAAACACTCACGTGTGAAACCAAATCAATACCTATACTTATACAAATGTGATATAGTTAAAGATACTATTTAGATCCTTGTATCACGGTAATATGCATTACATTACTGTGCTTGTATTTCTTCTCGCTAAACCCTAGAACTACCTACAAACTTGAAAAAATATGTTTATGTTGTTATAGGAAAAAAGTAGTAAAAAACAAACATTAACATTTTTATTTACATAAGGATATGTAAATAAAAATGTAAATGTTCGTATGTGAAAAATTGCAAATTTCTGAAAGTTCTTTATCGATTGCTTTGAATATTTGACACATTTTTGCGCTATCCATTTTGCTGTTCACCAACTTCTACACTACGAATAAATGTTTATATTTATTTATTCGTAGCTTCAACAGCATTCAACTTATCGCCAAATAATGGTACATAAATGGTAGCTGAGTACGGACAACATTTTCGCGTTATTTATCTTGCTGTAACTCGCCATTGAAAACCCACACTGATAAAGAGGTAAAAAAAAATTTTTAGAAAAATAAAAAAAACCTGAGACGCACACACGCAGCTATTTTAAAACATGTACATAATATGTATAACGTTAACTTGTGCTCTTCTTCTTTTCATTTTTACGCAATCGGGTTTTTTATTTTTGTGTTTTTTTTTTATTTACAGCTTTTTTAGTTTTAGTCAGTTAGACATTTTTAGTTTTATTTAACAATTTCTTATCTTAAATTACTTTTAAAATATATAAGTTGTATCTATTTTCGTAATTGCCTCTCAAAAACCTATATTTTGATGCCTCAGTCGATTTATTCCGATGAAAAAAAATTCAATACATACAAAATGGCGCCTAGAATCCGTTATTTTGATTTATCAAGACGAATCGAATGACATCGAAATCGTTTAATTAGTTTAGTAATTACGAGGGAACACAGGATCGGACACACATACAGGTCAAATACATAAACCACCTTTGAGTTTCGTCGTAGTCGAGTAAAAAAGAGATACAACCCGTAGCGGCGTATATCTAAATAATTATAATATTTGGTACAATCTCTTACCACCACACCACACCGAATGTACGAGTATGTATATTCGGTCTCCACTAATCTAACCATGCATTCGGCATAAGTTCTATAATCGAACTGTGTTCTGAACTGATCGCATAAAATATTCTAACAGCGTGTCCACACGGGGCGAGGAAATGGCAAATGTATGTATACACGTTAGTAATACTATTAAATGTAGTGCTTAACTTAGTATTTATATAAAATTTTACCATTATACTAAAATCTATCTATTAGATAATCACTACCACACTATCTCAAGTGAAGCCGCGGGTGAACTAAAATCATAATTTTAAATAGAGCAACAGATCGGCGCGAATGTATGCATAGAGAAAGTTAAAGATATCAAGTCTATTATAAACCTGTAACTGTATCTAATCAATTAATTACTAACATGTTAATTAGAATGTTAGTAAAAATATTTAAAATAATTATTCTACATAAAATACATGTAAAATTTCCTAAAACCAGTTAATCCTGTACCCGAAACCTTTTCTCGATAGCCAATGAGTGTTGGTTCGTTTATTCTAATAACTTAGTGATGTTCTTACCAAAATGCAAGTAATTTACAGTAGCTGCTTGCCGAAACTTTCTGTTTTGAATGATTTTACATAATATTATTACTGAAGTATAGAGTTTGTTTTGCATATGAAGTATACATTATATTGTATAAAAACTAACCCTGTTCTATCTTCATGATGTATAAAGTACCGAACGAATGAAAATTGTTGTTATAAAAATTACTCATCCCAAAACCACTAGCCTCCGTCATTAAAACTAGGTAGTAAATAGCATACAACCATTAATAGTTATGAAAAAAATAATTATTGAATATTTATAATACTCCTATATGTATTATTATGTTTTAAGTGTCCTCCAAACCGAATCTTGCTCTTAGCGACCAATCTCACTGCGAAGAGCTAGATACAGGAGATGTTATAGTTCAGAAGTTTGTGATCAAAGGCTCTCTGTTCCCTTTATCATTATAATTCGGCAATCCAACACCAAGGTAGCCAAAACATAGTATATTTTCAGTAAATAACAAAGTATATAATATATTACATAAACGGAAACAACGCCAGAGGCAATAGCTAAGTAACTAAACACTGTAAAGTGAACACATTTGCCTAAGCCAGTACTCCTATTTCATTCACATACGAAATGATTTGATAGAACCCTTGGCCCGGCCATCTTTATTCAATCATGGGCACCTCTCGATTCGGTCGGATCGTACGTGATCCGAGAATTAAGCAAACTGGCACCCGAGCATTATTGACTACGTGTCATCCAAAGGTTTGCTTTAGCGCCATGATATGGTGTACATTATCACATACACTACACTATTATCACATAGCTTCTTATGATATTCTTTTTTTTTCTATTAAATGTTTAAAATGTTCAAACTCGTCTATTTTCTATTATGTTACTATTTTCTATTATGTTACTATTACTTATGTATTAGTTTAAAACTATTTTTTTTTTTTTGAAAAACGAAAATGCTATATTCATCTATAGTTGATTGTAAGTAACATTCTATATTACTGTAATTGATATAATTTAACATGACACCTGAATTGATGTATCAAGTCGTTTTGCATTTATTAATAATGTAGCGACCTGACCTCGTCTCGCTCAGACATCAACGGTCAATAAATATTTAAGTATCTATATACATAATATGTATTTGAAAAGGGACCACCTCGTTGGCCTATTAGCTAGTCGTATGTTTGAATATATATGTATGTTGAGATCCTGGGTTTTAGTTTTGGCTCAGGCAGGTAAAATTTTCATCATTTTTCTTGGGGTCCAACGGGCCCTGCACGACTCACAGTGTAATACAATTTAGATGAATTTAAAATAGAGTGAGAGATATAGGTTATATTTAGTTTTCACATTTAAAATAATTAATTAAATTCGCACTTGTTTTATTTGTTCCTATTTCACAGAGAAACTCTACGGTACACACAGACCCCATACGTCTAATAATGTAAGTATTTTAGCCTGACTAGCCAAACGGTAAGTGGACTGACTGAATATTTCCATAAAACCGCTAGCTACAGTCCACCTGAGCAAACTATTATGATGTATGGCGATAAGGCATACATCACGATGGCAATAATAGTAAAATGAACAAAAAAACGTGACAAAATTTGTACAGGTGATATCGAATAAAATGTTATTAATGACAAAAAAATTACACAGGAATGAGGCGTAAAACCGTCCGTCCTAATATTAATGAAATTAATATTATTGATGCAGATACTTTACTGGCAGCAATAGCAGAATAGACCGCTGGAGCAACCCCATGTTTGTTATTGGGTAGTATTAACTTTTCTAGCCGATAAGCCCCACGTCACCACCTGTATGTATGCAAATGGTATGCGTAAAGGATTTTTTCAAAGTTAAAATATTTAAAATTTTAAATGCCTTAAAAAGAAGTACTTTAAATAGTATTTTATTGAAAAACAAAACATTATTTTTTAACATTTTGTTTCTTGCTTTTATATCATATAAATTGTGTGATGTAATATATTGATGGGTTTGATTTAATTTAATGTTTATTTTCTTCTTTTTAGAGCATTTAAATAATAGATATTTTTTTTATTTTTTTACTTTTTCGTATTCTTTTCAGCAAATCCTTTAGTTTGATATCCGTATATATAAAAACTTAGTCCGCCATCTTTTGGAGTCCACCATATTGGATTTACAATACGTCACTTTGCTTAATTAATGTATTTCGCTCATGAAGCCATATCATTTAATGTTCATGTTATAAGGGTTACTATGGAAATAATAAATTGCATTTTTGTAACGCCCGCTTTGGATTAAAAATGACAGCATTTAAGTAATCGTGCATCGTCACAAAAAGTAAACGTGTATGCCAAATTTAAACTCAATCGGACACTGGGTAGTTGGTCAAATTTTACTTGCAAGATTTGATTACAGACAGACAGCGGGACAGGTGAAACTAAATAAAAGGTTGTAAAGAGTATATTATTATGTACCTAAACCAAAGCCTCGGATTTCTATCATTACACAAAAAAAACTTAAAAAAATTGTTTGACAAATATTATGTCTGCCAGTTCGTTCAATGACACGACGGCTGGACAATTTATATTGAGACTCTTGTCCATCCAAACATTACAACCATCTCAAGGTACCTGACCTATTCACTCCAGTACAAACTGAAAATAATATTTAGTTATTATAAACTAAATAAAAATACACAGCAAGCGGAAATAACCTATAATAACAGCTACAGATTTTTTTATTATTTAACAATTATTTTACTTTTTTATTAATTAATTTTGTAAGGAAAGTCAAGCATCAACAAGTATGTAGCATACACGTATGTATATAAGTTTTAATATGCAACTATCTTTTTCACTATCATAATATTTCTTTTGTGTATGCTTTATTCAATAATTATTACTTGTGCAAATAAAACTTAAGTATATAATAAAAATTAATGTTACAATGTAAAACATTTTTGATTGTTTTCTACGACCAGGACATTAATTCATTATGAAGATTCGGATAGGTACGTACTTTAAACTTTTGTATTGTTTGTAAACAGCATTTTTTTTTAATTAAATTGATTATTTATTGTTTATTTTATACCTATTTATTTTCTAGCATTGTACTATTTCTAAAAATGAATAGAAATGGCGTAGATTATGATCAAAGTTACACCGCACATCGGCATGGTCAATAAAACGTCCTTATACGGGCATCAAACCCACGAAGTCCCAGACAAAAATAAATATATATATACTCGTAATATAACGTTCATACAACAAAGAAATCACGCTTATAGCACCGTATAATACATACTCGTACATGTTTACATATGCTAATTCTGTGACGGTTTAGTATTGTAGGCAACAAGCCGTTTTCAGGTAAACGCATGCTGAAATGTATAAAAAAGATGGTCCTTGAAGGAACGATTGATGTTTTTCATTTTTACCTGACTGCGGCGAAGCACAAAAGAGAGTTATGTGTTTGACATGTATATACACATTATGTATGTATGTATGTAGGAATTCGACGACACTATGCTCCTTCGTAAGTACTAAACGGCTTAACTGGTTTTGATGATTCATACGTCACTAGATTGGTCTTCAAGTTTTTAGACGCGATTACAAAAGTATATGCTTATATGTTTAAAAATAATTCAGGATAAATAATTGTTTCATTCAAATAAAAGCTGGAAATAAAAACGAACATAATATTATGTAGTAAGAGATATGTTGTATACGTGTAGCGAGACTCGCAGCTAGATATGTATGTCTCCGACTGTATAATACAATCTATACTAATATTATAAATGTGAAAGTTTGTGGGTATGTATCGATGTATGTTTGTTACTCTTTCACGCCAGAAAGGCTGAACGGATCTAAATATATTTTTTCACAGAGATAGATTATAGTCTGGAATAACACATAGGCTACTCTTTATCCAGGAAAAATGTACGGTTACCGTAGAATTTTTAGGTTTGTCTATGTATTCCTAGAGGCGAACCCGAGCGAAGTAAGGGTGAGCCGCTAGTAAAACATATTTTAAATTTTTTTAAACCCACGACATTAAAGCGTAATATAGAATATTATAAATAGCCGTCGTGTTTAACCTGTGTTGTAGAATGAGCATCTACAACACACATATAAAGAGAAATGTTTTATTTTTTTGTTTGTTTGTACCGAATAGGCTCCGAAACTACTAAACCGATTCAGATGAAATTTGGTAAGAAGATAGTTTGAGATCCTGGGAAGGCCATTAGATAGTTTTCATGCCGGAAATCATCCCTTAAGTGAGTAATAATGGGGATAAAAGGAAAGAAAATGTATGGGGAAGCTACGTAGGAAGTATCTAATTAACAATAAAGCTACTGCACATACTACTTAATATGTAAAGCCTACAACATACACGTAGGCTACGCACGACAGCTATTAATAATATTCTATACTAGCGGCTTACCCTCGCTTCTCTCGGGTTCGCTTCATCCTATCATACATCCTCAAAAACTTTCCCATTTATAATATTAGTAGGATTACGCCTTAATGTTGTGGTCTTAGAAGTTATTTTTTTAATTTTTAATTTATGTATTAATTATTACTTTATGGTATTTTTTCAGAAGTTCTTGCAATACTTGTATATTGTATACACAGCGGTACAGCAACTACTGCTACTAAATGTCGATGTACAAAAGACTTCAAACCAGTTTGCGGTAGCGACGGAGTTACGTATGCCAATGAATGCCTTTTCAATTGTACAAGAGATTATGAAAAAAATAGAAAAACGGAATTAATATTCATCAATTATCAAGGAAAATGTAAAGAATCTTGTTTTTGCACAGATGACTACAATCCAATTTGTGGCAGTGACGGGAAAACATATTCCAACAAATGTCAACTAGGATGTGAAAACAAAAAAATGCTTAGAGACAACCAAACACTTATAGAAATAGTTCTTGAAGATATATGTCCTGAACAGTGTACTTGCCCATTGTTTAAGGCTCCCGTATGTGGTGAAGATGGTCAAACTTATCCTAGTCAATGTCAACTTGATTGCGATAACAAACAACGAAAGTTGAAAGGATTACCAATCATCGTCACAAAAAGTAAAGGTAAATGTCCTGAAATAAATGTTTGCCCTGCAAATTATGCACCTGTTTGCGGCTCAGATAATATAACATACTCAAATGAATGTGTACTCGAAAATGCCAGTAGGGACAATGTTAAAAAAAATCTTCCACCAATTAGTGTCATAAGTCAAGGAGAATGTTCAGCAACTTGCGTTTGTCCACAAATCTATCAGCCAGTATGTGGCAGTGACGGGAAAACATATCCTAATAAATGCAATTTACAATGTTCCAATAAAATTCAAAATGGTCAACAGCCTGTCATTGTAGCAAGCGAAGGTGAATGTGCAATAAGCTGTGTTTGTCCTAGAATTTATGATCCCATTTGCGGAAATGATGGAAAAACTTATGCAAATGAATGTGAATTAATATGCGAAAGTAAAAAACGTGAGCGAAAAGGAGAAACACCGATCACTGTGAAAAGTGAAGGGGAATGTCCTGTTCCTTGTATTTGTAACAAAATATATAAACCTGTTTGCGGCAGTGACGGCCAAACATATTCAAATGCGTGCCTTTTAGGTTGTGAAAATAAAACTTTGGTCAACGAAGGAAAACCACCAATCAAGGTAGTAAGTGAAGGAAAATGTGTAGAGAGTTGTATTTGCCCCGCGATTTACAAGCCTGTCTGTGGCAGTGATGGAAAAACATACTCTAGTCCTTGTGATCTTGGTTGTGTCAATAAGGAACGAGAGAGTAACAATCAAACTCCCATCAAAGTTATAAATGAAGGAGAATGTAAAGAAGATTGCGCCTGTTTGGCAATTTTTGACCCTGTCTGCGGTAGTGATGGAAAAACCTATTCGAACGATTGTCAACTTGGATGTGAAAATAAAAAAAGAAGCAAAAATTGTGAACCATTGTTAGACATCGTAAGCAAGGGCGAATGCCCTTCACCTTGTATTTGCACTCTTATATACGCTCCAGTATGTGGCAGTGACGGTAAAACATATCCTAATAAATGCAATTTAGAATGTTCCAATAAAATTCAAAATGGTCAACAACCTGTCATTGTAGCAAGCGAAGGTGAATGTGAAATAAGCTGTGTTTGTCCTGCAATTTACGATCCTGTTTGCGGAAACGATGGAAACACCTACTCTAGTAGTTGTAATTTAGTATGTATTAATAAACAAAGAGAAAAGGAAAACAAACCACCTATTCTAGAGTCTAATAAGGGGGAATGTCTAGACTCATGCATTTGCCCAGCAGTCATTCAACTAGTATGTGGAAGTGATGGAATAACTTATGCAAATGAATGTGAATTAATATGCGAAAGTAAAAAACGTGAGCGAAAAGGAGAAACACCGATCACTGTGAAAAGTGAAGGGGAATGTCCTGTTCCTTGTATTTGTAACAAAATATATAAACCTGTTTGCGGCAGTGACGGCCAAACATATTCAAATGCGTGCCTTTTAGGTTGTGAAAATAAAACATTGGTCAATGAAGGAAAACCACCAATCAAGATAGTAAGTGAAGGAAAATGTGTAGAGAGTTGTATTTGTCCCACGATTTACAAACCTGTCTGTGGCAGTGATGGAAAAACATACTCTAGTCCTTGTAATCTTGACTGTGTCAATAAGGAACGAGAGAGTAACAATCAAACTCTCATCAAAGTAATAAATGAAGGAGAATGTAAAGAAGATTGCGCCTGTTTGGAAATTTATGACCCTGTGTGCGGTAGTGATGGAAAAACCTATTCGAACGATTGTCAACTTGGATGTGAAAATAAAAGAAGAATCAAAAATTGTGAACCATCGTTAGACATCATAAGCAAGGGCGAATGCCCTTCACCTTGTATTTGCACTCTTATATACGCTCCAGTATGTGGCAGTGACGGTAAAACATATCCTAATAAATGCAATTTAGAATGTTCCAATAAAATTCAAAATGGTCAACAACCTGTCATTGTAGCAAGTGAAGGTGAATGTGAAATAAGCTGTGTTTGTCCTGCAATTTACGATCCTGTTTGCGGAAACGATGGAAACACCTACTCTAGTAGTTGTAATTTAGTATGTATTAATAAACAAAGAGAAAAGGAAAACAAACCACCTATTCTAGAGTCTAATAAGGGGGAATGTCTAGACTCATGCATTTGCCCAGCAGTCATTCAACTGGTATGTGGAAGTGATGGAAAAACTTATGCAAATGAATGTGAATTAATATGCGAAAGTAAAAAACGTGAGCGAAAAGGAGAAACACCGATCACTGTGAAAAGTGAAGGGGAATGTCCTGTTCCTTGTATTTGTAACAAAATATATAAACCTGTTTGCGGCAGTGACGGCCAAACATATTCAAATGCGTGCCTTTTAGGTTGTGAAAATAAAACATTGGTCAATGAAGGAAAACCACCAATCAAGTTAGTAAGTGAAGGAAAATGTGTAGAGAGTTGTATTTGCCCCGCGATTTACACGCCTGTCTGTGGCAGTGATGGAAAAACATACTCTAGTCCTTGTAATCTTGGTTGTGTCAATAAGGAACGAGAGAGTAACAATCAAACTCCTATCAAAGTAATAAATGAAGGAGAATGTAAAGAAGATTGCGCCTGCTTGGAAATTTATGACCCTGTGTGCGGTAGTGATGGAAAAACCTATTCGAACGATTGTCAACTTGGATGTGAAAATAAAAGAAGAATCAAAAATTGTGAACCATCGTTAGACATCATAAGCAAGGGCGAATGCCCTTCACCTTGTATTTGCACTCTTATATACGCTCCAGTATGTGGCAGTGACGGTAAAACATATCCTAATAAATGCAATTTAGAATGCTTTAATAAAGAAAATATACAGTCTGGCCAAGAACCTATTACAATAACTAGTGAAGGTGAATGTCTTGAACAATGTATTTGTCCAACAATATACGATCCTATTTGTGGTAGTGATGGAAAATCATATCTCAACTCTTGTGACCTCGATTGCGCCAATAAAGAAAGAGATAAAAATGATTTACCAAGAATTACAAAAATAAGAAATGGAGAATGCGCTGAAGTATGTATTTGTCCATATATTTTCCTTCCAGTATGTGGCACAGATGGCGTAACATATCCTAATAAGTGTTCTTTAGACTGTAAAAATAAAGAAAATGTTCAGAATAATTTACCTATTTTCATTGCATACGAAGGTGAATGTATAGATTACTGTTATTGCACTGATAATTATCAGCCAGTGTGTGGGAATGACAACCAAACGTATGGTAATAAATGCGAACTAGATTGCGTAAATAAGAAACGTGAGCAAAATTGTGAAGCACCAATTGATATTATTAGTGAAGGAGAGTGTGATGTGTGTTCAGAAGATAGCATATGTACAACCATTTATGAACCTGTATGTGGAAGTGATGGAAATACATACTCCAATGAATGTAAATTTAACTGCGCGAATTTAAAGCTATTACAAAATCATCAACAACCAATTTCTGTAGTATTTAAAGGAGAATGTGAGGAGACATGTTTGTGTAAAACAGATATTGATCCAGTATGTGGTAGTGATGGTCAAAGTTACCCTAATGAATGTTATTTACTATGTGAAAGCAGAAGCCTCCAGCAAGAAGGTTTATCACCTTTAGAGGTTACATATAAAGGTCTTTGTGAAGAACCATGTGACTGCTATAAGACTATAATTCCAGTTTGCGGTACAAATAATAAATCATATCGAAACTCTTGTTACTTAAAATGTGCAAACAATAATCGAAGATCAAATAATACTTATATTCAAATTCAACACCCTGGAGGTTGTCAAAATTGCAACTGCCCCTTTGATTATAAACCTATTTGTGCAAGCGACGGTAACACTTACAGTAATATTTGCCAATTAAACTGTGAGAATAAACGATTAGCAAATTTCGGTAGGCCACCACTCTATGTAATATATAATGGGGAATGCGAGAGATGCATTTGTCCCGATGTAAGTGAACCTATTTGTGCTAGTGACGGAAATACTTATAATAACAAATGTGAACTAGATTGCGAAAACAAAATCCGTGCAAAAGAAAATGACAGTCCTCTATCAACTCTATATGATGGTAAATGTCGCGACTGCGAATATGATTGCCAATCCTGTCCACGCCTTTACCAACCCCTGTGTGGGGATGATGAAAATACCTATTGGAACAGATGTTCGCTGGAGTGCAGTAATCAATTCAAGTATAGCCAGAACATACCTTTTGTTCAAATAAGTAAATATAGTTATTGTTAACTTAAAGTATATAATATACAAAACTTTTGTTAAGATTTGATAATTCATTGTTTCCAAAAATGACTATAAAATTTATTTAATACTTTACAACATACATATGCCATTGTTGAATTGTTTTGTTTATTTAAAAAAATATTTTTATAAATTATTTAAAAAATATACTAATTTAAAACTTTCTTAGATTTACGCAAATATTTGAAATTTTAAATAACACTATCTTTTCGGATTATTTCGCGGATTTATTTTGATTTTTGGTTCCCGACGTTTTGAATGGTTTACAGCACTCATGTTCACGGGAGTAACTAAGGTTTTAGACGTCTATGTATACCTACTTGTTAGTTGTTAGTTGTTACAGACAGTACCTACTCACATAACAAAAATGATTTCAAAAATGGCACCAAAATTACGTTTCAAAATTTTTTGATTTTAATTTTAGCTGTTATTAAATAAAATTATTATTTATTTATATGTTGTAATTGAATCCTAAATACTTATAAAAAACTTATTATATAATATCTAGTTTTATCTGATTGGTAGTTTTCATTAACTATACGAGTAGATACCTAATCAAATATATTTCCGAAGTTAGTGCCAGCCGATACAAATGAAAGTATTTTTTTAAGTTTTTATTTTTTCCTTTTTAGTGTAGACATAGTAGTAGCAAAGTAAGAAGAAAGTATTTTAATAAAATATTCGCTTATGCCGTTTAAGTTAGTTTTATGCCAATTTTAATACGCTTTTATTCGTGACACTAAACATTCTGGCTCTAAAATCTGATTCTAACGTATTGGGCTTGTCAAATCAATCAAAATAAGTCCAAACCCAAAGTATCCAGAAACTTTAAAAATAACCGACTTCCAGGCACTAAAATGTAAAAAGGTAGGCTTTCATTTAGAATAGACACCTAATCAGATATTTTCGAAGTCGGTGCCAGCCGACGCATAGGAAATCTAATATACTCGTATTTATTATATATTATTCAATACGTAAAATACATATTTACCTATTAGATATTCATGTCTTAAAATATTCTCCGCTGGCACCGACTTCGAAAATATCTGATTAGGATATGTTTTTTTTTAAGTTTTTATTTTTATTTAAGAAAGTTTTTAATAACATATTCTATTAAACAATCTGCTTAAAAAATATATTTATTGTTGATTTTTTTTAAAACCGCTCGACCGACTTCGATAAAATTTATATGGGACTACCTGGAAAGTATACCCTTTCAAACAAAACATAATTGTCCAAATCGGTTAATAAATGACGGAGTTCTGAGGTAACAAACATAAAAAAAAACATACAGCCGAATTGAGAACCTCCTCCTTTTTGCAGAAGTCGGTTGATAAAGTTATTTTAAACATGTGTAAATTAGCGTTTACTTACTGAAATATAATATATGTATACTTCTATCTGAAAACTCATCACGAGAAAACCACTGGACAGATTTTGATGAAATTTGGTATAATGATAGCTGGTTATCCGGGTCAACATATAGAATATTTTTTTCAGCGGGAAAATATGTTATTTCTGAGAAATCTATCCTAACCCTTAAAACGTATTTAGGGACTGATGTGATTAAATAAAAATACATGTTTGTTACGACTCAAAACGTTATATATTTATAATTAGATAGATATTTTTTAATTTTCACATACACACGCTTAGAGAATAGACAAGTACAGTACAAGACAAGAGAAAAACTAAACAGTGTTACCAACTAATTAATGTAATTACATTTCCATTTTATAACAGACGGGTCCGAGCGGAGTGAGATTAAGTCGCTAGTATACATAAATAACTATATAAAAGATATTGTCGGGTTAGACTATTGCTAGCAAAAGATATACAGGCGCTAAACAAACCAATACTAAATGCTGAAATAGATAAAAGTTATTTTATGTGCCAGTTTGTGGCTTTTGATAGTAGATTTTTGATGTGTCAAGTGGACAGTCGGTGATTCGCATTATATATATTAGGAATATAAAAATATAAATGTAAAATGAGTTATACAGAAAAAGCAATAAATATAATTGTTAATTAAAAAATATTTGTTTGAATCCTGGAAAAATTGTAACTAAGTCGAATCTGTACATTAAATATTTTTTGGAAAATCTAATTGAAATAGACATTATTATCGATACAGAGTCCGAATCTATAGTTTTTAGAATTTTTGTCTGTCTGTCATTCTGTCTGTCTGTTACCGTATCCCGAGAAAATCACTGGACAGATTTTGATGAAATCTGGTATGATGATAGCTGGTTATCCGGGTCAACATAAAGGGTAGGTACTTTTTACCGCGGGAAAATATCTCATTTCTGAGAAAAAATACAAAAACACAAGAACTGCATTGTAAGAGTATACTAATATGTAAAACCTAAGAATTTGGTTTTTGGTCATCTGAACGCGGGCGGAGCCGCGGGCAATGCTAGTTATAAAAATAAAAATCCCGACGGCATAAAGCTAACTAAAAAGTTGAAAACAAGTTGATGAACGAATATACATAGTATTATGCAGTCAAAGACATACATACGTGTTACGTTTACATGTACATCTCGCGGTAAGGATGAAACGCGTGTCTCCCTCTCCGACTGCATAAATACTATACTCCTTCATTTCATCATCAATCAATTTATTTTCAACTTTTTAGTTAACTTTAATGCAGTTGGGTTTTTTATTTTTATAATTATAACTATTCTCATAAAAAAATTGATAAAAGCACATAGCTTTAGATTTTAATATTATTATAGATTTGTTTATTCCATGACTTATATATACATACGATAAGGGCGACAAACGAAAAAGAAATTCAATTAAAATTCGATAAGCTAAACAATTAAATTATTATTCGTGAAAGTCTCCAATAGATAATATTAACCAAACCGGTCTAGCATTTTTAGGAAAATTTTAAAAAACTCTTCTGTGATCTTTATGTAATATATCGCTCCGTATTGTAAAGTTAATGTTTTCAAAGTAAAGCTTAAGATAGACGTTATTGATTACATTTCCCTGTGATTTCGAAACTCTCATCTTGCTAAGCAACCGCGACCACCTGTGAAGAAATCCGCTGTTTATAGTCCAAGAGCTTATAACCCATTTTTCAGGTAACTATTCTACATAATGGTATTGATAGGATAGAGATAGGTAGGTACAATAGATATTGCATATATGAAAGGTGCACAATAATTTTCTACGACAAAAAGTTTACATCAGAAACCAATAAAAAGTATTCGACAGTTGAGTTAGCTTAAAATAAAAAATATATAAGACAGACATTTTTGTTTGGATTACATTAAACAAAAATAAAAAATCGTCTCTGAGAGCCTCCGTTATATTAATACGAAGTAGGTGAGCAAAGCGAGGGTGAGTCACTAGTAAAATAATAAATATCCAATTAAATAATCTCCCGTAGCAACGATCTAACAATATAAAAAAGTAACAAAAAAATATAGAAAAATACTTTACTGTCAAATTGACATAAATATTTTATAATTAATATGTAGGTAACAGATAACATAATTACATGCAATTATTTTTTTCACCCTAATTACATTGTTTAATAAAACATTATACAAAAGTGAATAGCTGTATCATTCTTTACAAGGATAATATGTTAATATATAACATAAATAGATAAAGAAGACCTGAAACCTGTTTTACAGGTCGCCCAGTTTTATTATATTTGGAAGTCACATAAATATTTTGTACAGTCTGAAGTATAAAATAAAACACGCTCAACAGCAGTGAGGAAGAAATATGAAGAAAGAAATTTTATGTAAGTTTAAACGTTTTGTCACAATAATACACTAATAATAATTTGAAATAAATAAAGTCCAATTTGCGTTTTCGATTTTCTAAATATTTCAGAGAAAGTCCCATAAAAATCAGTCAAGCCTTTCCAATGATTACCCCAGACAAACAGACAGACAGACACACAATTTTAAAAAGGCTTGTTTTTAGGTACTGCTATCTTTTAAATAGCTCCATGTACCTAAGTAAATATCGTTATTTTGAAATCAAAGACAGACAAATTTTATTGATATGTATAGACATATTAATAATTGAATAGCTATGTACAACAAATAAAATTACTTATTTTCAATATAATGGCATAAGCAAGCAAATCCTTATAACTCAATTTAATGCTTAAACTAAAACATAGATATATCTGCATGACAAACTCTAATTCCAGCTTGAGGTGACTTAGGTAATGCTATTGTAACAAGTAAATATTTGACTCTTATTTTTAGGGGCCCTCGCTACCTTAGCGGTTCTACTTGTACCGCCATCATCAAGTGGTGCATCAAAAGGTATTTTAATAGTGAAAAAAACGGTCTACGAACCAACAACCGTATGTCCTTGCGAATATGAATTCAACCCAGTGTGCGGCTCTGATGGAGTCACTTACAGCAACCAATGTTTACTCAGCTGTATTAACGACGAACGCCAGACTCGAGGGCTAACTCCAGTCGTCGAGATGAATGATCATAGCCAGTGCACCAATTGTACCTGTCTAAATGTAGATGTACCAGTATGTGCAATAGATGGTGTAACGTATCCTAATGAATGTGAACTGTACTGTGAAAATCAGAGACGTATACTACAAAAGAAACCTATACTTAATCTTGCATATAGAAGTACTTGCATTGGACCTCCTTGTTCATATTGCCCGACAACTGCGGCCCCTGTCTGTGGTACCGATAATATTTTGTACAGAAATCAATGTGTTCTCGATTGTGCTAATACAAACTCCATAAATGGTGGATTCCCACAAGGTATATCATTAAAGAATTATGGATCTTGCTTAGACGGATGCATTTGTCCAAAAAAACTGGAACCAGTATGTGCGAGTGATGGCAATGTATACGACAACTTGTGTTATTTAGAGTGTGAAAACAGAAAACATACTTATTCTAAATATGCTAAGATTACAGTGGCTAATAGAAATATATGCGCTAATTGTGAATGTCCACCTTACATAGAACCAGTGTGTGGTAGCGACGGACTAATGGAACCGAGGACCTTTCAAAATACTTGCGCGCTTGACTGTATGGTGAAACGTTCTAATAATCCATACTTAAAAGTTATTAGTAAAGGTCCCTGTCCAAAATGTTTCTGTACAGGAGTAACCTCTCTAGTTTGCGGAACAAATCACAAAACTTATAGAAATGAATGCGAACTTCGTTGTGCCAGTGATAACGTTCCAAAAGGTAAAAATCCTATTAGTATCTTCCATGGTGGTGCGTGCCAAGAAGTGGAATGTGTCTGCCATCATTGTTCTGATGAGTACATCCCGTTGTGTGGTAGCGACGGCAGAACATATTGGAACCTCTGTTGGCTGAACTGTAGCAACGGCTGCAGGGAAAGAGACGGTGTGGCTCAAATCACCGTAGACAGACAAGGTTCATGTAGCAAATTTGACTAGCTTAATGTTTTTGGCATTTTATAGAAGATTTCGTCAATTCTTATATATATATATATATACACTACTTGTAATTAAATATGCGGTTTGGTTGTAATATATTTATTTCGAAAAAGATGTTTTGTGTCTAAACAAAAATAACAACCCTATTTTTATAAAACATAATATTATTTGATAGTTATTTAGTACTTCAAACCCTAAGTTATCGTGTGTAATAATGTTTATCAAGGTGGCTAAACATCAAGGTGATTAAAATGACTTAACTTTACCACAAAGCTCAGGTCAAAGCCAGTGACACTTGAGCGGTAGCATGCTAGCCATAGTCAGCCTTTGAGAGAGCTCTGAGAGCTCTGAGAGATTCTGACATTGCGCTTGATATTATACGCTCTGGGCCTATCCGTACGTATATACACCCTAATATCTAGATACCCTCATAGAATATTAAAACTTCTTACCTAATGCAATGGTAAATGTTTGTCTATAAAATATTTTGGGATGTATAAATATTGTTATGTTATAGACATATGTATCAATATGTTGTATTTTAAAAGTTAAATAAATATTTATCCATCAATATTCATTTTACTGTAGGCATCAAGAAGTTTTTATTTCATAATAATTGTACGAGTAACGTGTGATATTGTGTATCCCTTAAAATAGCTTAAAAACAACTCAACGTTACGATGAGATACTTCATACTTCAAAATTTTCCTTCAAAGTATTATAGAAGCAATATGTAATTTTTATTTTCAATATGTTTCACTCCATACTTTAGAAGCACTATTGTTTTTAGCTCGCAACAATTGTTTTTTTTTTAAAAAGTCACTTAATAACGCCTATCATAATTTTAAAGACTGCGAGAATGTTTAAGTGGACTTTTTTTTCCACTTTTCACTTAAATTTATCATAGCGTCATACCCCATTTATAACTTTTGTAATTTAAATTATGTACCAGACATTATACATACATATGTAGCTCCAACAATGTATGATATATGAACAGACGGACATGATGAAATTATAAGGGTCTTGTTTTTGTCTTTTACCACGTAGCACACGAAGATGAGTATTTTTCACTACGATAGTTTTGTTCATTTCATTATAACGCCTACAAAAATAATAAAGCAAAGTATCTTTGTAGTTCAATAATCTACATTTTTATCAACAGTAAAACTGTTAATAAAATATCGATATTCTCCACATTATCATTTTATTTATAAATAATATATAAAAGATTATCTTTAATTTTTGAGCTTAAAATACAGGCTCAGGATCTAATTCCGTTGAGAAGAGGAACTCAACGCAACTCAAATTCAATTCTTTTTTTTTTTTTAATCTTAATTCAATTTCAGAAACTTGATCACTAAACTAAAGTTTATAATGTATTTTACAATAAACAATTTGATTCAGTTCATTCATGACCCTGCTTGCTGTGACAGCGGTCGCGGGATCGACTCCCGCTGGGAGCATCCATTTGTGTGCTGAGCACGAATGTTTGTACACCAGTCATGGGTGCTTATATTTATAATATGTATCAACTATCTGGTATCCATAGCACAAGCCTCGTAGGTTACCATGGAACTAGATGGTGCTATGCGTTAATGTCCCAACAAAAACAAAACATACATACATACAAATCACATTGACATTTACGTGAAAACTTACTTAAACAATAAAGTAACTTATTTGTGTAACAACAGAATTGGGAAGTAAATAACTCTAAGTTGGAAATGCGGAGACGCTCAGCCCACTTACAGTCGAGGAGAAGTTGGTCGAATGAAATAAATTTAATTATAAATCGGCGAGTAAACCGTATTAGTACCTGAAAATTCGTTAATTAGATTCGGGGGGATCCCCTAAGTTTTAAAATACTCTAGTGTAAGGCCCGAGGCGCTGTAGAAATTCGTATTTCTTTAGAGGAAGTGTACATTTTCTGCGACTCTGATTACAAGTTGAAAGGATTTAAAGAAATAAAATAAAGCATAGTTACGTTTTGTAACGGCCCGTGTCGAAGCGTGAGTTCGGACTTAAAGTAGGCTATAACTTTTCATACTGGAATTTAAGTAAAAAAATTAAAGTTTCACCCACATTTCTGCCGCTTTTTTTTCAAATATTTTTTATTTAACTAAGTATAGATCACAAATGTACTAATATATTTATATGTAGTTAGCATATCTGGTATGCCAAAGGTCGTCAATTCGATTCGTGTGTAAGGAAATCTTTGTTAACATCCATACTAATATTATAAATATGAAAGTGTGTTTGTTTGTTTGTCTGTTCTTCTTTCACGTCGAAACGGATTGACGGATTGGCGTTGATTTTCTGTGTGAAGATAGTTGCAGGGCTGGAGAGTGACATAGGCTATTTTTACCGCAGGAGATTATCTCATTTCCACGGGAAAACAAGTCATAATACAACACAAAAAAAATATTTATGATCAGAATTACTTGAAACTTGGTATTAATGTTCTTCAATACAATGAAATAAATATGTGTATTAGCATTTTTCAAAATTCATCCCATAAGAGGGTAAAATATGTGATGAAAGTTTGAATAAAACCTATCTTTTTAGAGTTTTTTTTACAGTTTTAGCGCGAGCGAATCCGCGGGTTCTGCTAGTATATAAAATTTTATTCAATTCTAAAAGACGTCATCACAGCCTGTGGCATTTCGATATACTACACACTGTATTACATTAAGCTATTTAAATTTAATTAAAATCATAGATTAAGTGATTTCATGGTTATTCATTTAATATCTGCATATCACTTTAGTAAGAAAAAGCAATAAAACATGAGAAGTCAATTCTTAGGAGTTACAAATCAATATTAACTCTATATTTGAAGGAAATAATATATAATTTATAGATCTCTAAAATGAGTTATTTCTTGTTCAAAGTGTGTTTAATTATAATAATTGTTCATGGAGAGAAATTGGAAGATTCGATAGTGCCTCGTACCATCGCAGTGGACTATTCACAGCTTGCAAAGGAAGCAGAACACCAAAAATACAATATACTTAACTTTTTAAACGAAACTCGAGTCCAACAAATATATAAGATGCTTTTTAAGACTCTATTACAACAGCTTTTAGGTAATCTTTATAAATAAATAAGTTGACGTATGTTTTTGATTTTTGATAGTTCTGGATAATCAAACGATATATTTTTATGTTATTGTATAATATAATTAATGGGATTTTGTCTATGTTACGTCACACATAGACAATCTATACTTATAATATTATAAAGAGGTAAAGTTTGTGATATTGCGAGTTTGTGAGTTTGTGGTGTTATAGGGGGTAATCTCTGGATCTACTTAACCGATTTAGATGAAATTTGGTAAGAAGATAGTTTGTGACCCTGGAAAGGACATAGGATACTTTTAATCCCGGAAATCATCCCTTAAGGGTGTGAAAATGGGCATGAAAGTTTGTATGGGGAATCAAGCTAGGGACGAACCGTGAGTCGCTAGTACGAATATTATAATATGAATATGGACTAAAATATGTAAGAATTTGACTACTAATAGGTATCACTAGTTCTAATAAGTAATCTACCTATAAGTTACCTGTTCTTTATTAGCCATATAAACAACAAGCATCTACCTAAGTACCAAGTAAGTAAGTAAGTAGTAAGTAAGTAACAATTTTTTACTAAGAACCTTTATAATATTTAACCTTTGAAGAAATAATTTAATTATACAGCACATACTGTACTTTTAAATAATAATATGTAGTTTGTTTCTTTCAGCACATTCAACGTCGTCACGACGAGGTAATTTCATAGAAAAATAACTTCTAATAAAAATATTATGAAGTAATTTCCCGAGACTAAAGTATAACTAAATGTAACATTAGAATATACTAAAAAACTTACGTACTTAATACGTCGATTTTAAACTACTGCTTATTATCGTATCATTTTGAAACACTGTGAGTAAAATTAATTTTAATGTATTAATTCAATACTAATGCGATAATCTGGTGATAGAATTAGAATTCGTTTTGTTGCATCTCATTTGTTTTGTTTTTAAAGTTAGTCCATTGGCTATTTCTAATATATTATTATTCGTACACTGGTTGAAATTTGCCCATATTTTTTATTGATAACACCAAAGCTCAACAGTAGCTTCTAAACAAAAAAATATATAACTAACATACAAAGGAGAAAAAGTTTTGTCTTTGCTAAATAATATGTAAATCTAACTTACCGACTTATTCTCCCTTCGTTCGGTCGCGTCCTCATATGCTTAATTGTATTACCTACTAGCAACTCACCCTCGCTTCACTCGGGTTCGTCCCTAGGTTGCTTCCCCATACAAACTTTCACCCCCATTTTAACCCCCGTAAAGGATGATTTCCGGGATAAAACCTATCCTATGTCCTTTCCGGGGTTTCAAACTATCTTCTTACCAAATTCCATTTAAATCGGTTTAGTAATTTCGGAGCCTATTCGATACAAACAAACAAACAAAAAAACAATTTTTTCCTCTTTATAATATTAGAACATATGTATGCTACTCCAGATGGTATAGTATTTATTATTCCGTAGGCTCCACTCGTCGTATCGTCTCCGGAGTGAACACGTCCATCGCCGCTGTTCCATGGCAGGTCTCCTTAAGGGAAAAGACGTACCCGATTTGTGGGGGGTCGGTTGTAACTGCTACTTGGCTGCTCACTGCCGCGCACTGCTTGTTACGGTGTGTTCGATATTTTTTTATATATAGTTTTTTGTTCGTGTTTAAAGAATGTAGATATTATTAACATAGATTATGTATTCTATACATATAATAAAATTCTGGAGTCAAATCTGTACAGTAAATATTTTTTGGAAATCTTATTGAAATTGTCATTATTATCGATACAGAGGGCGTATCTATAATTTTTAGATTTTTTTTCTGTCTATCTGTCTGTCTGGGAACGCATCACAAGATAACCACTGGACAGATTTTGATGAAATTCGGTATGATGATAGTTGGTTATCCGGGTCAACATATAAGATACCTTTTACTGCGGGAAAATGTCTTATATCTGAAAAAACCGTTAAAACGAAGAGACGTACTCAAGCGGAGCGAGGGTGAGTCGCTAGTGTATAATATATTACGAGTAATATTAATAAATAAGTAACTTTTAAACCAAAGACAGTTCTCAAGGAAACTAATACATTTCTTACAAACTGCTGTAATAAATACCTGCTTAGATAGGTTGAGAATACGTATAAAACACAATCGAGTCAGATATTTTATTTTTATTTTATAATAAACTATTTATTGAAGTAGTTTATACAACATTATTCTACAGCATTTAGGATCAGAGCGATGTTACCATATTATAATAATGACCAAATATTTTATGGAGTGAAACACAGAAATACGCTAAAAAGAATATTAATTTACGTTATCTCTCATAATTTTATATCATCTTATATTTTACCTACTGTTTTCTTATCTCACTCTCTTCTTAAATATCCTCTAAAAATAGTAGGTACAAACTATACGCTACTACACAATCAAAAATATTAAAGTTGATTTATTTAGTGTTCTAAATATCTTTACAAACATAAATATAAAATTAATGAATTTCATAAAAAAACACACACTTTAGTATTATTGTACAGCATTATACTCGTATCTGAACTAAAACTATCTGCGTTATCTCAAAACTGGCAAGAATATTTCATAGACCACCCGAACTATTGTGTGTCAATTTAAAACGTACATTCTTTCCCTGGTGAATTGCAGCCCACAATTTCAATTTATCGTCGAGGGTTGAATTGTATTTTTTCCGATGCAAAACAGCAATCGCCTCCAGGGCGGCAGTAACACGGCATATATTTTGCCTCCAATGTAGATGGTACCAGTCTTTACGAGGGCTCTAAAGAAATTTATTATCGCATACTTGGAAAACGATACGTTGTCTCCGAATAGAGCTTGTTTCCAGCCAATAGGCGTCTTTAGGATATAGGGGACATCTGTTTTCCTTTCCTTACATTGTATGTCAAATTGACGAAGTGCCTTTCTTTGCGCTTCGATATGCAGAAATTGTTCTAGAGTAGAATATATACTATAATTTATTAGATTTGACGACACGTTTGGCTCAGTTTGTAGTAACCCTACTTGCTGTGCCAGCGGTCGCGGGTTCGAGTCCCGCTGGGGGCATTCATTTGTGTGATGAGCACGAATGTTTGTACTCCAGTCATGGGTGTTTTTATTTATAATATGTATGTATTTAAAATTATATATATGTAGTGTATCAACTATCTGGTATCCATAACACAGGCCTCGTAGCTTATCATAGAACTAGATGGTGGTGTGTTATTAATGTCCCAAAATTTTTATATTTATTTATTTATGAGATATTATTATTTTTATCATTATATTATTGAATTGTTTCTTGATATTTTGTTTTTTATGTTTTTATATAGTAATTTTGATTATGCCTATAGAAGTTCAATGTACTCAGTACGTATAAAGAATACTTACATAAAATTGGAATATTTATGAGATTATATAAAATGTCATAATTAAAAATTTATTCAAAATGTAGATTTGAGAAATATTGTGTCAAATTAAAATTTTCTTTTTTGTATTGCACTCTTACTATCGCTTCATGACTTTATTTTTTACTTTTTAAAAAATGAGGTAAATTTTACTGTTTCTAAGTATAAAGTACATACATTATACAATGAACAGATAAAATTGATAAAATTTTAACTTTAGTCTAAAAAACTACTTAACTGTAAGAAATATAAGATATATTAATCAAGTATAACCAATGAATTAAATGTTAATTATTATAATAATTCGGTTAATTTCATCAAAAAATAAAGTCAGACTTAAAGCATTACGTAAAATTAACAAAAACATAGCCTTGGATAGATTGATAGAGTTCTTTTGTTACTTTTAATTATAATTTATTATTGAATACATATTGAAATTTTGTAAGAGCACAACATTGATTAATTTTACCATTATTTATCTGTTCTTTTGCTTATGGAATTACAGATGCCATAACAAAAAGTAAAGACTGAAATCGGTTAACTATACTTATAATAAAATTGTAACTAAGCCAAATCTGTAAATTAAATATTTTTTGGAATATCTAATTGAAATAGACATTATTATCGATACAGAGTCCGAATCTATAGTTTTTAGAATTTTTGTCTGTCTGTCTGTCCGTCTGTCTGTTACCGCATCACGAGAAAACCACTGGACAGATTTTGATGAAATTTGGTATAATGAAAGCTGGTTCCGGGTCAACATATAGGATACTTTTTACCGCGGAAAAATATCTCATTTCTGAGAAAAAATACAAAAACTGCATTGTAAGAGTATAATAATATGTAAAACCTAAGAATTTGATTTTTGGTCATCTGAGCGCGGGCGGAGCCGCGGGCAATGCTAGTTGTAAATAAATACTTTACAATTTGCATAATTAGTCACTAGACTTACTTCAATATGTTCCGATTTTTACATTTTATGAATATAAATAATACTTTCAATTTCATGTGTTTATTATATAACACTAGCGACTCACCCTCGCCCCGCTCGGGTTCGTTCCTAATTATGTTTTAACGTTTAGTGTATATTTCTCAGAGATGAGATAAAGCAAAACGCATTAGGTATATATAGGAATGCTTATGTTACAAGCACACAAACTGACAAATAAACATTCATTTTTCTATTAAAAAAAAATCTCTTCTTGTCGCGTCTCTTTGCAGCAGAGAGCTGTACTTTTCGCCTTAGATATTGAATTTGGTCGCCGAGCTAACGTATACTCTGTGCGAGAATCAAATCAGAATCATCCGTTGTAATTGGTAGTGCAATGTGCACTAGATAACTATCACACGACAATATTATTATAGCAAAAGATAATGAATGAGTGTTTGTGTTCATTAATTAGTCAAAATGTAAGAGCTTAATATATAGGAGAAATGTAGATAACTTATTGTTTTTTTTTTACATTTTATTGCACTTTATATCAAGTATATAACACGGGAGTAGAAACACAAGTAATTACTAGCTATGCTATATTTCCAGACCAAGAGCAAGCGAACTCAGCGTACGCCTCGGCTCTTCATGGAAAACTCATGGAGGTGAAATGTATGACGTTAAAGAAACATACGTACACCCACACTACATCAGGAATACTAAAGCAAACGACGTGGGGCTGATCAAGTTATACTCGCCTTTGAGATTCTCAGCCAGAGTGCTTCCCATCGGCATAGTGGCTAAAAAGAGCCGTCTGCCCGCGAATCAAGCTGCGATTGTGTCTGGATGGGGAAAATTAAGCGTAAGGTTTATATTAACTGGCAACATCTTACTCAGTTCCAAAATGCGAATTTCTTTGTAATTTAACAGCATTGCTTACTCTGTGTGGGATATTAGGGCGAAAAAATTGTAACAGTAAACCTCAACGCTCAGATAAGGTATTCTTTGTAGTTTTTACAATAGCAATTTTATTAAACTGGTTCTTGTCTTCAGTTCTACTTACCTCTAACTGATGATACAATGTAATGAAGTACCAAGCACTTACGCTCAGTCACAAATTGAAATATTGCTCCTAAAATAAAATGTCAGATTTCATGAGCCATAAACATATTCTACGCTTTTATAATCTAATATGAAGTGTTTTAGAAAACATATCGATTTAATAGTCGAAAGAAATGCAGATTTTAACCCAAATATTTACAATTGATTGTTGGCAGGAAGGCGGGCCTAGCGCTACATTTTTACAGTCTTCAACAATTAAGACGATTGCTATGAAACTGTGTCGTCATTCCGGCCTCGATAGAAACTCAATCAATCCAGCTTCAATGTTTTGTGCTGGATCTTTCAGTCAACCTTCGCCTGATGCTTGCCAGGTACTTGACAATAATATTCATACTCTACATAATATTTGTTCATTTACAGATTAATAAACGAAAAAAAAACTATAGAAAAGATGGAGAAGGACTAAAAAAGGCTTTTTATTTACATGCTCCACTCACGCATTTTATTTGTTTATAATTACTCCGCTTCTGAAAACTGCAGCGTGATGTCATCACCTTTAACCATTTTATAGTATAATATAAAGCTAAAGAGTTTGTTTGTCCGCATGTATGTTTGCATTTTTTAATCTATCTATATTAAAAAAAACATCATAGATACCATAACTCTGAACCTTAACCTTTATGAATTATGGTCGATTTTGATTTATGATGGACAGTCAGAGGGCGATCACTAAAGCATATTTTTTGTATGGCTTATAAAGAGAGAATTCGTTTTTTTTTATTTTAGTTTATTATAAAATATTGTACTACTTGTATTGCTTTTTACAATTGAACATGGATTTCTAAATACAAAACTGTCAAATCAAAAGTCATCAAAACACTCGTTAAGAAAACGTTTTTTATTGAATATCAGTAACTTATTTATTATTTCAACAGGGTGACAGCGGCGGCCCTATAGTGAGCGAAGGCGTCCTCATAGGAGTAGTGTCGTGGGGACTCGGTTGCGCTCGAGGCAATTTTCCCGGAGTCTACACGCGACTCTCCAATCCTGTTATATGGGAATGGATACATGGACATATTGCTAAGCAAATCAGTAATAATACAACAATTGAAAATTGATAATAACCTTATATATGTGTATCTACTAAACTAATTTTCAAAATGATTCCGCTGTTATCTGGCATCAATGGTCAAATAATATGATAGAAATGTCACTACACCAGATGCCACGAGTTAAAAACCAATTATAATTTATAAATAAACATGTTGGGAATTAACACATAGCACCATCTAGTTCCACGGTAAGCTAACGAGGATTGTGTTATGGATACAATACACATATATAACTTTAAATACATACATATTATAAATATAAACACCAAGGACTGGAGTACAAACATTCATGTTCATCACGCAAATGAATGCCCCCAGCGGGACTCGAAACCGCGACCGCTGGCACAGCAAGTAGGTTCACTATAAAAACTAACTAAACTTGTCGTCACTATATTGAACATCACAGTAATATGCACTATCCCATAACCCTCTAAGATAATAAAGGTATCCGCATATTCAAGACTGGGTGTCATAGTAAAAAATGCTTAAGCTGAGCAGCCTAATATGATTCTTGGACATCGTTTTTTGTTAACCAGCACTAACTTTGACTTTTGGCACATTTTTTTAAAGTAATTGTTTAGAATGTTTAAATTAACACCTCGCGGTTAAATTCTAAGATATTAATTGTTAACCGAGCCATCTGTGGCTCCGCGTGCTTTGAAGGGTAATAGTAAAAATGCAGTTTTACTGGGTCTTTATGATATTAATATTATTATTGGCATATTCATTTAAATACTTAAATCTTAAAACTGTCTAAATTTTTAAATAAGTCTATAGGGAATCGAACCATGACTTTCAATTTCTACTCAATTGTATATTTTATGGCCTAGGGAGTATAAAATGTGATAAATAAAAAACATAGCTTAAACGCGTGACTTTAATAAAATGTTTACTTTATTTGGATATATATAAATAACAATTAAATAATAATTGTGCATTAACAAACAATAAAAACGCTTACAAGCGAAATCGAAAGATTTTACTACATATATCTACTGTTGACATCTTCAATCTAAGCGTCAAAATTATAAAATGTGTAAAGGTGTTGAATTGCTCGTATTTTTTACATATATTTATAATTCACAAAACTTTGTAAATTCTAATCGACTAATATGTTATATGTAAATAGTAGTATATGTTACATAACAAGCTATTCTCTATATAATTAGGTCGAGTCAAGTTCTCTACAGATATCTAAATAAAATTATTCTAGACTATCTTCATCCTGTCAAAAAAAGTTGGCCGATACGGGACGCCCGGCAGATGTGAAACATCTATGTTAATATTAGAATTCACAATTATTTTTAATAGAGTCTGTTTTACAATGGAACTTGTATAGTAGAGCGGTGGCGTAGAACAGCGTCACGCCACCGTCCGCCATCACACCACGAGTCGGATTTAGTACCAAGGCGCGCCAATAGATGTTTCACATCAAAATATGAGGCTAAGGCAGACTATACTCATATACCCGGGGGAGAAGCCAACTCCTACCGGGCGCGTCCCCAGGTGGCGGATAGGGGCATGCCACCCGCTTAGAGGGGCGGGTGGTACCGGAGAAATCCGGCGCGGACCAAATGGCTTGGATGGGGCCGCTCGTCTGGGCCTCGAGCCGAGGACGTTGCGGCCACCGGTGGTGGGACCGCTTGGTCCCACAACCGGATGATGGGTGCCGGTTGCGGGACTGTGTTCGCAGGCCCGCATTCGGCGGAGGGATAGGCCGCGGCGGGAGAGGAGTGCCGGTATTTTTCGGTGCGCCGTTCTCACTACCTTCCGCGTGCCTAGACGGGGCCGCCACCGTTTGGATGGCGGACGGCGGTGGGGCTGCAGGGGAAGAGAAGTGTCGGGTGTTTCGTTGCCGCTCTCACCTGTCCTCTGCAGCCGATTGGGAGGTGGCCCACTTCGGTGGGCGGTGGTTTTGGTTTTATGGGGCTGCTCCGGGTACCTCTCTGACGTAGCAGAGTTGACTGTGGAGCAGCCCCATTGGTTTGGTGGTCTGCCTAGTATTTAGGCAGACCTGCCGCCGGGGCGCCGTAGTAGTTATGCGCAAGCGATCCTGCGGCGTCCCACTAAGGCGGGGGGAAGGGATGTCGGGTTTTAGTGGGTAGTACCGGCTCTTCTAGCCGGTGAGCCCCACATCACCACCTGGGGGATCAGGTGGTATGCGTAAATGCATTTCCCGACAATAAAAAAAAAAAAAAAAAGACTATACTCATATAACTAAATTTTATAGCCAATTATTGTTATGACGAAATAAGTGACTTTTATTAGACAAGGATTGCTTTTTATCATTCTCTCATCACAATGCTACGAAACGTGACATCCAAAGAAAAAAGTATAAAAATGTATATAAATTAGAAATTTCAAATTAAAAGCACTTAAAGGAAATATATAAGTAAATACCGACTACAGTGTACTTTTTACAAATAATATTGTTGTCATTTAGTTATATTTACATTAAAGAATATTGTATACATATAATTAAATTCAATTTTCATAATCTAGGAACTTACAAGAAAACCACAATTCGTAATATTTTTGTCTCGGAAACGGCTGGAATATTTTGACGGGATTTTCACTTACAGTTAACTGATGTTATAAAGGAGTAACTTTTGATACTTTTATTTTAGAAAAAGAATTAGGGTTCCGCTCAAAAAAATTAAACCCTACCGAGGGACGCATGCGAGCCAAGGAGCCAAGCGATGGTAATGTACTGTAAATATAAAACATCAACGATAGAACTAACTAATCATAAAAATACTGTGCGAATTATTTGTATAACAAATTACTCTTAACAAAATAACAATTATATTAATTCAAGATTGATGTTATCTAATTTTATATATATACCTATTTAGAAAATGTATTTAGAAGTGATATCACACTTAAAACTTATACATATATAATATAACCTATATACATATAACAAATAGTATAGTATATACAAAAGTGTAAATACGTATTAAAGAACGAAATTCTTAAGTCTAAGTAGAACCATTGCAATTAATGTTATCTAAGAGAATAGCGAGGCCCATCACATCTGGCCCTATAACAAGTCGCTACTTGATGACCACGACCGCTCTGTCAAAAGTATCAAAGAAGAAGAAGAAAGGTTTTTAATTAAATAATTTCATTAAATTCATCTACCCGTTTTCTAGTGATGCACCTACTAAATAAACTTACAAATGGACACAAAAATTATAAAAAATCATCGAATTATTGCTAATTACATTCCAAACATTACCTAAGCAAAAATTAAAAAATGATTTGAACTACATTTTTGACGCTTAAATTGTTTTAACAAGTATAAGGTAAATAAAGAAAGTTTTGAAATAAGTATAAACGTATAAAATGAGTATAAATGTTGTATAAACTTATTATAATTGTGTCTGAAGTACGCTGCAAATGGCTGCGCAGTTGTACGAATAACCTCAATAGATAAGATATAATAAGAAGAAAAGATACAATTTCAGACTGATGAGCATTACACATCCTATATGGGCCTTCCGACTGACCCGCTGAGTTTCCGCCACCAGCTCTTCACAGGACTGAGGTATTTTTTCTGAACTGGTGATAAGACTAAAATACGCTCAGCGATCGGATTTGTTAAAAATATTATACTGAACAAAAATTCTTTTGATTTGATTTTAATTGCTCCTTTCCATCATGTGCTATGTAATAAAGCATATCAATGTTTTGGCATATGATATTTGTGCAGAAATAATATTGTGCAAAATCTATTGTTGTAATTTTACCTACCTATAGTCAAAAATAAATAAAATATTAAAGGGCAAGTGTCTGAAACAAAGATTTAAAATATTAATATATTAAAAAGTATATGAATCTTATTTTAATAAATATATTAGTATTAGATATGCCTAATTAGATTATCGTTAATAAATAATCCCATCTACGAATCTTGCTATGGTAACCAATGCTAGGGGAGGTGTTTCCCAAACACGTAAAATACATGACATGCACCAAGACTGTTTTAATGGAAAGTTATCGTCACTAGCATATTATGATTTATCCTAAGTAAAAATAACACTGTTCTTAAAGTAAATTATACCCAAAAATCTTTCATCTTTTAAAGAAGCTTCAGAGAACTTAGCCAAGTAGGCAAGTGATATGACAGAACATGTCAATTCAATGTGCAACCATCGATGAAAAGTAGATAGAAATCTCCTATTACTTATATAGTCCGTAAATTTTGCAAGAATCAAACCTTAGACCCACGGTATAAAACAAAAGATCTTTTGAATTCAGTCACTATTACCATTTATCCATAATCTTTCTACTCTTGCATTTTCAATAAATTTTATTAACTACACTTATGAGTACAAAACAAATATGTAATTTAATTCGGATGATGATAATTAGGTATCAATCGTGCTGATTACATAATGGAGGCAGGAGGTGATTAGCGGAACTTCATGGCTGCTAATATTCCACTCAAATTCGTGTCTATTTTGTTTGTTTTGACGAGGGTCTGACAATAGATCCAGGCGATGGAAAAGTGTATTTTCTAATTTTAACTTTATATATATTACCATAGTAATAACGGTGTTATTATTGGTGTAATTTGGTAATTAAGAAATAACGATATGACGTCTGCAAATTCTAGTAGCCAGCTTGAATATCATTTAAGATAATTATCCCATTAGAAATAATACTATTAACTAAATCTATTATAAACTAATTATAATTAAATCCATCTGTATAAAATAATTATAATACTGAAACAACAGTCTTTCAACATTAGTACCTAGAATCATTTAATTTATTACTTATAATCATTTAATTTATCTAAAGATTTTTTCCCCTAATTCCCACTTTATCAATAACTTCACTTGTCTATTATATATTTAAACACTGTATACACTTCAATCGTTTTTCAAAAAAACCTTAAAAGTACAGAAAAAGTCATTAAAAGGCCGGCAAAACTAGCACGGCCTTGCGAAGCCTATGTTTTCTTCGCTTGCTGAGGTCTCCTTAGTAGGTGCAGAGGGTCTCGCCTGTACCTAGCGTAGAGTTCTCGTTTGAATGTTTCAAAGTGTTTCCGGTTTTTCTCATTTTGCTTCTCTCGCCATAAGGGTCTCGTGCGCCGCGCTTGTAGACCCCAGTGGATTGTGAATATAGGGGAGAGTACTTTGAATTGGTAGCCGATGAGAAACATCTCGTATACCTAGAAATATAGAAATTATATTGTACTATTACTTAGCTGCGGCTTTGCTACATATTTATTTCAAATCGTTATCGTCATTGTATTTATTAAAATAATGAATGTATAAACCCCTTTACTATATATATATATAATAATAAAAATATTTTTATTGCACCTTTATATATATATATATATATAAATATATATATAAATATACTATACATAACTTCGAGTACCTAAAGTAAATAATTTCTTGCATTTTACTTACAAGTTGCAATTCAATATTAATGTAAATTAAAATACGTTAGCTTAATCTACGTATATAAGTATTAAAAAGAAAAGCTATTCAGAAGTTATAGTCTAGAAATTGTAACACATAAAAAGAGAACATCCCACTGGAACATAGTTGTATAATAGACGAACTCGTTTCTTTTACGGGAAACATTCATACTTTTTACATTTAACTAAAAAAACATTCAGCTTAATCTCTCAGTAAAATCCGCTTTAAAGTGAACGCATCGTGTTGCAGGAAATTGTAGCATTTGTAAGCTCAAAAGAGCTTGTAAATGGGTACTTGAACAAAACACGTATTGTAGCTTTTGACTATTCAAAGTGGTTGTTTGGAATTTCGCTTATATATTTTCATATAATTGGGATGAACGTCTAGTGATGTGCTTTGTGTCTTGTTACCTTTGTTATATTAAATATCGTAAGTTTGATATTTGATAAACAATGAATTCGAGCGCTGCAGGTATTAATATGCATGAGCTAGCTAGAGCGGGGAAGTAATAATATCGATAACAGTACTCGTATGTTGCATTTCAATTTGTGAGTAAATTCGCTGTAAATATAACCACTTATCTCCATTTCCTTCTCCATCTCAGATGGCACCCTTTTAATTTGTGTGTATATTGATAACATACTACACATAAAATACTAACCAAAGCATTATTGTACATGTACATATATCTGATAATTTACTGTACGCAATTGGAAATAGCTCGCCAGGTTCCGAATAATATAAACATTGCTGGACTTAAACCGATCGAGCTTTTTCCTTATTTTAAAAACTTGGCTAATACAGCCATATGCCTTAACCGTCATTGTATACAAAAAGTGTAATCGAATCTCTGGTATAAGCGATGATCCAAAGAAAATAACAATATTACGTAAACTTTATATTTATCAATTACAAAATAAATAAGAACAGTCGATAAACAGAATAAGAGCTCAAACATTTCTCCTTTATTTATATCACAGATTTGTTTGTGATTTGACTTGTATTGCATTTTCAATCTTCGCACTTTCTAAACAGAGTTTCATTTCCATTGATTCTTTACAGATTTTAAAAATAACATGTTTTTCTTGACATTAGCTAATAGTCCCTTACATATTAATTCGAGAGAATCTTTTTATAGGATCTGTCTTAAAATGAAAGTAATATAAATCAAATTTCATAAAAAAAATAGTATAAAATTAACAAAAAACAGTACAATTGTTATTTTTAAACACCCGTAGTTTGTGTGACCCAGTCCCGTAGATTCGCTATGTTACTGAAGACAGTGGGCGACAACGGCAAGGCGCATCCTCTTGCAAATGATACTATTCCAAAAGCTGTCCCTCTGAACACAGCTGGTCCTCCGGAATCACCCTAATAAATATAATTAAAGATCTTAATTTAATTTTTAATAGGCATTTTGTAATTTTATTAAATGCGTCATATAAAACATGCTTACTTTAAAAATATAAAAATCTACATACATAATAGATTTTATAGTAATTGGTTATTTTGACCGATAACAGTCGTGTTAAAGAATTCAAATTTTTAGGAACTAATGATGAACAATAAAAAATGAATTATTACCTGACATGAGGACACTCCACCGATAAGGAAATGTCCCCCACAAAACATATTTGATGTCAGTGAATCTCCGTATGAAAGTCTACACAACCAGTGCGGTACCACCGGCACATTCGCCTCCATCATCATCCTAGGAATCCTTCGGCCTCCAGGCTGAAGGAAAGGTCCGAAAGTAAATGAATTTTATATCTGATTTAAAAATCAATTTTACAAACATAATAAATATACTTAGTAAAAGAACCAAATTTTATAAATCATAATTTTTTTAGTAGGTTCGCAGATCGGATTTCTTTGAAAACACAAATTTGACATTATCTATGCATGTATATATATTTTTTTGAAGCTTTACCTAAGAAATAACAAATTACATCTATTTAACTTGCTAAACAATTAAAAAGTAAAAAGCTACTAACAGCTGTCAGTCCCCATCCAGTGACAGTCAATCGAACTAGAGGGACGGCTTGCCTTGGATTGGGAAGTCGTATAGGCTGAATCGCTGGTCCGAAGACCAGGGGTTGTGCGAGACGCAACGCAGCAATATCATGGTCAAACTGCGGCTGGCCATATTGGGGATGAACTGTAACAGCCGACACCCTGACTATACTACCGCCAGAGTCACGTCGAGTGCTGCCAACTCGTAAGCGAATGGCTTCTGGAGCTACGCTGTATAAGAATGGATATTGTAATTAGTCTTTGTATTTATTTAATTTATTTCCACGATTTTAATCTTACGGTGAAGGAAAATATCGTGAGGAAACCAACATGTCTTAGAAAACCTAACAAGTTTTTGAAAGACATGTAAAGTCCGCCAACCCGCACTTGGCCACATGGACATGGTGGACTATGGCCTGATCCCCCTCGTATTAAAAGCGAGGCCTTAGGTACGGGCAGTGGGAGGTTATAAAGGGCTCATACATACACACATATTTTTTTAAATTATAATCATTATCTTAGCTGGATACACAAAGAGTATTGTAACTTCTTTGCGTCCTTATGATTATAACTTCAATATACCTAATCAATAAACAGGTTCCTCTTACTCCTGTTTGTTTCACCATCATCCCCAAATATTTTTAACAAAAAAATTGTCTGTAATCTGACGGCCTATAAACGCACTCCATGTTCGTGACAAATATCTACATATTTGAGTATTCCTAGCAAACTCTGTCAGAGATTGAACGTTAGCACGGCATCTATGTTTTTATTGGCTACACATATGACTGCTACTTTGAGTTTGACCTAAATTCGACGATGAGTGGAGAATTGAGATTGATGCTCTTATCTACTAGATAACATTGTGTGAGAGTATTTATTAATATAAGCACTTAAATTTTTAGGCGTAATATACGACGTGCAAAAGATAATTAATTCTAAAAATATGGATTCCCGCCATACAATTCCATTGAGTATGAGTAGTAGAAGCAAAACATACTGTCATTTTACCAATTTGTATTGTACAACAATATGTAGAAAAATATAATTTCAGAAATAATAATATTATATTTTGAGACTTTGAAAGTTTTGTTTGTCTTCATTAACTGTTTTATACACCTCTCCTATTATTCTCTCTTAATGTGAAATTAATCTATACATATAATAAAATTCTAACTAAGTTGAATCTGTACATTAAATATTTTTTGGGAAGTCTTATTGAAATAGTCATTATTATCGATACAGAGGCCGAATCTATAGTTTTTAGAATTATTGTCCGTCTGTCTGGGAACGCATCACGAAAAAAAAACCATATATATAACCTTAACTGGTTACCCGGGTCAACATATACGATACTTTTTACTACAGGAAAAATCTCATCTATGAGAAATATATACTAACCGTTAAAACGGTCCTAGGGACGGACCTAAGCGGAGCGAGGGTGAGTCGCTAGTGTGAAATAAGATTCACAATATAAAATGATAGTATTCATGCATAAACACAGTATTACTCATAAAGTAAGAATAAACTTCGACACGACGTATGCAATTTAAACCGTCGTAAAAGTTCCTTTCCCATAAAAAAATATTTCTCATTCCATCGATATGAGATACTATGGGTATCAGACATCTTAAAAAATTTTTATCTTTGTGTTATTTTATCTTATTCTGTATTACAAATAATTGCCTAGTAACAACTTATTTTGTTAATATTTTACTATATTGATAAGTAATCTCTCTAATACACTAAGAACAATCACAATATTACTTTTAATATCTTGGCGACGTTTTAAGTCCAACAGACACTGACTACTGAATTGAAAATCACAAGTTTGTACAAATGATTCAGCTATCAGTATCTATACAAAAATGGCAACTTATTAGAACCGGCTGTCGCACATACTTTCAAGAACAAGATATCATTTATATAGCAAAATACTGAATCTTCCTTCTTCAAGAAGACGTAAATTTATAGAGGAAACTCTCTAACTTTACTCTTACGAGAAAAGTAAAATATACAGTCAATACAAAAATATCAATCATCTTGCTAAAATAAATGTAACTGAAATATCAAAAAAAGCTTTAACTTCTAAAATATAACTCGAACTATAGCTTCAAAATGATACTTACTTCTGGACGCAATGTGCAGCTGTCAACACATAATCTCTACTGATAATGAAACCACCACAAAACGAGTTCCCATTTAACACCATAGACACTTGATAAGGGTGCCGTGTCACAGAACTTGGTCTTCCTCCGATTATCTGACCACTAAGTTCAGGGCAAGCAGCTTCGAGCTCCACTTCTTGGAGCTCATTTTCTGACACTTCATTCTGAGAATCTCCGCAACATTCTCCTTGAGGTGCGTCTTGGGGATCTAAAATAGATATCTATAGAGCTTAAAAAAATTATATACATAAAATAAACTAAACTTTCAAATATATTTGGGATAACAAGATTGAGTGGAAATAATATTTGACAAATGAGTTATGAACTTTGTTCATCTTTTAATTCAATAGGGAAAATGTATGCGTTTTCTTACTGAAGGAATAATTTTAATACTTTAATACATAAGAAAGTACTCACCAACTCTAGAAACAAAACAAAGTAGTAGGCAAAAGAGAAACCAAGCCATAGCGGTGCAGCGATCAATCAACTGGTAGCTGGAGTGCGGCACTCCCGAGATTTAGTTGCAAAATATTTGACCGCGATCGGAAATTTCTCACGCTACACTACGAGCCACGGTCACGACCTTTCTATTAACTTAAACTAAATTATATTACATCGGTAATAATCAGTCAGTAACTACTGAACTATACGTTAAAATCCTCCAGTTATGCATTGCTGATTTTCAGTTCCCGACTTTCGATGAAATAAATATAAGTTGAAATGTATATGATTAATTATATATTTAGATTCATATTAATATATCACCATTCAAATCTGGTTTGATTTATTTTATGCAAACATAAAAACGCCTATTTATTATTTAAAAAAAAAAACAAATTTAGAAAATTTTAAAACATAAAGCAAAACTTATGTGAATGTGTAAAGTGACCTTTTTGAAGAGATTCTATTAATTACAAAAAGGCTACATTTACTGTCCTACTAATATTATATACGCGAAAAATGGTGAGGATGTATGGATATTGATAAGTTTGTTACTTTTTCATTTAAAATCTACTAAACTCATTTTAATGAAACCTTACAGTAATATAGCTTATACATCATAATAGCATTACTGAATTACGAAAGGCGGGAAGACGTTAGCAAGTAATAAAGTGGACTATATGCCAATATAACAATGTATGTGTATGTATGTATATATTCAGCTCCTTTATTTTCCCACTCTCTTCTACCTTTACTACAAAGAGGATTTGTCCATAGTCCACCATGCTGGTCAAGTGCGCGTTGGCGAATTTCACACGTCTTTCGACAACTTGTTAGGTTCTCTCAGACGTGCAGGGTTGCTCACGATGTTTTCCTCTACCGTAAGGCAAATGTATGAAATAATTCGCACATGAAAATATCAATGGTACACCCGCTTCATTCGGTTTCCCAAGCGAGCGCGTTATCACTAGGTTACCACTGCCTTATTATAACATACAATAGCTAAATATATTTTTTTATCTCAACTTTCAACTTGTATTTTCACAAGAGTGGAGCCGCGTGCAAAAAATATGGTAAATCTAATGTTTTATAACCAATTAAAAATAGTTTAGTGCCAGACGAGGTTAACATTCCAGCTATAAAACTGATTTGACGTCACAATCATCACGTCACACATCGTAACTCAAATCTAAATAGATGTGACATCATATTATATAAATTTCATTTTTATTTACATAATATTTGTACACTTGCTATAGGTTCTGTAGTACGCTATGAGTTGTGGGTTCAATTTCTTTTTGTGACAATTTTTCCCAAATACATAAAAGTAAACAAGTAACTCGACTTGTCCAAAAATAATATCTAACGTAAAACCAACATTTATCAATAAAACACTCCTCCATTTTTCATTGTTATCGCTAAATTTGTAAAAGCTTACTAAAATATAAAATATATTATTAATTAAAATATAGATCTGTAAAAAGCACGACAAAGCTCTGACAAAGACATTTAGAACCAATTAAATATTGTTTCCAAGATACAAAACTGTCATCAATTTCATTCCTTTAATTATTTTAGATGATCAAGTAATCCTGATAGAGTACGAAATGATAAAAATCACGATTAGTCTAGTTAGTGCGGAAAACGTCCAATCAGTGAAAATTTCGAAAGGTTTCCTCCGGCGCGGCACATTCGCGACAGACAGATTGGCACAAAATCACCGTTTTTATTATTTTTAGTATCTGTTCTTCCGTTTAGCGGACGTCTAAAAATAATTACATTGCTTACAACATTCCACGGTTTCTGAGATTTCTAATCTTTTGAAACTAGGAAATATTCTGTGAAGAAAAATAACAAGTGGTTTAGAGGTTCACTTACACCTGGTGCATTAACATTTAATACTAAACATCGCAGATTATTTTTTTATAGCGATCATGGTTTTTTTCTTCTTCTTTAATGGCTTAAACGGTCATTGCTTATTTGACAAACAAAGATTTATTTTGATTGACTTTTCAATATAAACCTAGACAACAGTGTTATCGAAATACACGTTCAATTACATATTTGTCATATTCCAAGGCATGCCTTAACCTCTAACATTTTGCCGTAGCTTACCTGCATTTTTATTGTGCACAATAATGAAATACAAGCCAATTCGTTATAACTTAGTACGACATGACTCTTCAAGGATGGCTCTTTCAAGATTTAAACTAAAAAGCTTCTAAGCATTCTAAAAGACTAAATTCATTAGAACTTAACATTTCATTTATAACAATTAATCGTATTTGCTTATATTGTACGATGATAACACAATTATATTTACACAGAGATATATTTGCACAAATATTCTTATTTTTATTAGATTCTTCATTCTTTGCCATCAATTTTTTTTAATTAATTGAGCATTGATTTTCAAAGTACTTTACAAAGTCAGGTCTTCAGATAGAAATCAGGTGATAGCAGGCGTATCGATTAAAAGAGATCATGATTCATCGGCCTTCACCCAGCAACGGGCCGTGAACACTTTAGTCACAAAAATACATAAATACATTAAATTTCAACTTATGGAATGCGTTTTTTTTTATTTTCAAAATATTTTTAATTGACTTGAACGTAGAGAAAATTGCAATTATTCGCAATAAAATTACTGTAAAAAGTTCACTAAAGGTCGTTTATTTACATCATTAATCGAAATTAGTTGTTTATTTCAATATCCATACTAATTTTATAAATGTAAAAGTGTGTTTGCTTGTTTGTTTTTTTGTCCTTCTATCATGGCGAAATAGTGTTACAGATTAAAGTGATTTTTTGTGTGAAGATAGTTGGAGGGCTGAAGAGTAATAGGCTACTTTTTAACGCGGGAGATTACCTCATTCCCACGAAAAAACACATTATAATACAACCCAAAAATTATTTATAATCAGAATTACTTGAAACTTGGTGTTAATGCTCTTTAATAAAATTAAATAAATACGTGTTTTAGCATTTTCCGAAATTCATCCCGTAAGGGGGTAAAATAGGGGATGAAAGTTTGTATGTTTGTTTGTAGGATATGAAACCTACTTTTTTAGAGTTTTTCTGTAGTTTTAGCGCGAGCAAAGCCACAGGTTCTGCTAGTTTATAATATAAAAATTTACATATTTAACATTTCAAAGACTTGCAAGTATAAGCAGACAAACAAACAAGAATCGTATGATTATGTCCTCTCCATTTAAATATCTACACCATGGAAAGTACTAAAAAGTATTATAAATAAGTATAATTATACTTATTAAATTAAATAATCTAACTAATTATTTAAATAAATATTTGAACTATTTTCGTCAAATCGTAATTTTGAAATCGAGAATCATAAAAGTAAATATAAGACTCAACATTTTTCAACACAAAGCACTGACCAACAAATTGTAAAGCAAAATCTCGCAAATCGCAATATACTTCAGTAGCAAAATAAAAATCCAATGTAATAAAATTCAAACAATTTAGAATATAGCAAGTCAATATGGGAAGCGGACGTTGGTACGGTGGCGGCATACCGGATCGCGTTTCAAGCGGCACACATCGCTAACCGCGCTATTTCTGGCTGCGAACCAACGTACACACGGCATGTCGCTAATGTGAGCTTAGATTGAATAATAAATGTATGGCAAATTGTATTTCATGTACTAGCATGTACAACGTTTACCATAATTATTTATTGTAATAGATGAAGTGTAGTAACTAGTAAGCCGACAGCGTTACGAATGCACAACAACTATAACCAATATTGCAAATAAATAATGTCCAACCAAGAAATACTTTTGAGCTAAATATAGATATTCAACCCTTTTTAATTTCCCACTACTCCCTCCTCCCTTCCCCTTCAATGAGGGGGATCAGGCCATAATCCACCACGCTTGGCAGACTTCACATGTCTTTCGAAAACTAGCTAGGTTCTCCAAGACATGCAGGTTTCCTCACGAGGTTTTCCTTCATCGTAAGGCAAGTGGTAATCATGTTAGAAATGATTCGCACATAAAATATCAGAGATGCTAGACCCTGGTTGTACTTACTGCACTCGGTGTCCCAAGCGAGCGCGTTACCACTGGGCTACCAATGCCTGAGATAAATATAATAATATATCATTTTGATATAGATTAAAAAAATGTAATCTATGTCTCCCTGTGGTACATAAATAATAAACAGGTAAAATGTCTCGTTGATCCATCAATGGGCCGTTACGTGAAGATAAACCAAACTCTTAACAAGACTTCGCTTTTACCATATTAAATACTTCTTTTATGTTCACCTTATATAATTTTTTGGGCAGATATTATATACTGAATATGAATAATAGAATATCTTTGTAACTTCCACTTTTCACTGCCTACAAGGCAAAAGACTAACTGCCTATTATTCAAGCAGTTTCCAACAGCTTATCTATGTTTAATTTTCCTAATGAGCTTTGAAACAATTGGAATTCGACGTAATTTATATGCTATTTTATTATAACTTATTCAAACTATCTCTGGTAAGAAAAACGTGAATTTTTCTTACCAGAGATAGTTTGTACATAGATAAGTTATTGAAAACCGCTGCTAGTGGTTGTTTCTGTAACAATGGACTGGAATTGGACTGCCAATAAAAAAAAAGCAGTGTGATACGTACGTCTTCCACTTCCTCTTCCCGCCTGTTTTGGATTGTCCCCAATACTTCTTACAAACTATCATAAAATATTGTCTCGTAAAAAGTATTACATGTACTGTAAAAGATTGAATACAAAGCTGACTGTACCGGATTGGGATCAACTTTGATTGAATTGTCGCTAGCTTTTTGGCTTTAGATTACATACATAGCTAACATGTTTTGAATGAGTCGGTTTGTATGCGGAACTCTCCCGCGTAAATAATATGAATAGAAATGTTGTCTTTCTGTCTGTAATTTTGTATCCGCGTCGAGTACGCTAGAGGTCACCGGTTCTCATACTATGATATATACATATCAGCCACACACTTGCCGCACCGTATTCTCTTCCTATTAATAATT